AGAAATAAATTAATGAAAGATATACAAACACTCTACATTTAAAACTATAAAATCTCCTGAGAAAAAGTTTTGTAATTTTTGTTTATTTATTTTTTAAGAGTCAGAGTCTTGCTCTGTCACCCAGGCTGGCGTGCAGTGGCACCATCATAGCTCACTGTAGCCTCAAACTCCTTGGCTCAGGTGATCCTCTTGCTTCACCTTTGTGAGTAGCTAGGACTACAGTTATGCCACAATGCCTAGCTATTTAAAAATAAATAAATAAATTGTAGAGACAGGGTCTTGCTATGTTGCCTAGGCTGGTCTCAAACTCCTGGGCTCAGGTGATCCTTCTATCTTGACCTCCAAAGCATTTGAATCACAGACACAAGCCACTGCACCCAGCTAGAAAAAATTTTAAACATCTAAATACATGTATAAAAGTACTATGTTTATGCATCGGAAAGCTCAGTGTTATAAAACTCAGTATTGTCAATATTTGAAAGTCTAAATAAAAGTTTAGGGATACTATGTTTATGAGTTAGAAAATTTAACTGATTTATAAATTAATCCATTGATGTAATGCAACCAAATTTCTAGCAGGCAAGATGATTAAAAAATTTATATGGGAACGCAAAAAAAAAACAAGAATAGCAAAAGCAGTACTGAAAAGATCAAATATTGGGTGACTCATGCTACCTAATATAAAGATTTACCATAAACTTCAAGAGGCAATACATACTTCTATTGGCCAAAGATATAGACATAGTTTAACTAAATAGTCCATATATGAATACATATATAGTCAATTGATTTTTGACAAATGCAATAGCATAATTCAATAAAAGTCTTTTCCATATAGGCTTCTAAAACAGCTGAATATCCATGTGCAAAAACAGAAAAAAAGAAAGAATCTTACTCCTACCTGTTGTCAAATGCAAAATTTAATTCAAAATGAACCACAGACCAAAACATAAAGATAAAACAACACAAGTTCTAGAAGAAAACATAGGAGAAAATATTGATAAACCTTGGATAGGCAAAGATTTCTTAAAACACAATATGCAAGGATCATGAAGACAAACAATAATAAATTTATCTACATAAAAATTAAAACTTTCTGCTCTTAAAAATATTAAGAAAATGAAAAGATCAGCCACAGACAGGGAGAAGATATTCACAATACAGATATGTGACAAAGGACTAGAATCTAGATTATAAAAATAAGCCTTCCAACTCGATAATAATAAGAGAAAAATTTTAACAAATAACATAAATAAATGGGCCAAAGATTTGAATAGGCACTTAATAAAAGAAGATATATTAATGGCCATAGAGCAGAAAAAGAGAGCAAACATCTGTAATCATCAGGGAAATACAAATTAAAACCACAATTAAATCCCATTACACACCACTTAAATGACTAAAATTTAAATAGTGACAATAACAAGTGTTGGCAAAGACATGGGGCAATTCATACATTGATGCTTGGATTGCAAAATGGTGCAATCACTTTAGAAAAAAAGATTGGTAGTTTCTTTTAAAGTTAACCATACACTTAATATATAATTCAGCAGTTTCAATACTAGGTATCGAAGAGAAATAAAAACACATTCACTTACATGAAAAAAATATTCATTTACATGAATATTTAAAGCAACTTTATTCACAACTACACCAAACTGGAAATAACCCAAGTTCATCATGGGAAATAGCCCAAATGTTATCTACTGGTGAGTAGATAACTGAACAATGGTATATTCAAATAATGGAATACTAATCAGTAATAAAAAGCAACAGACCACTCATAGGGACAATATGGACAAATCTTAAACACTATCCTGAGTGAAAGAAGAAATGAAAGAGCACAACCAGGATGATTTAATTTACATAAAGTCCTTGATCACGTAAAACTAATTTATAATAACAGAAATCAGATAAATCTTTCCCTGAGGCAAGGAATATATGGGGGATCAACTAAAAGGGCCATCAGGGAAGTTTCTGGAGCAATGAAAATGTTATGTGTCATGATTGATGTGGTGGTCACACTTGTGTATACATTTCTCAAAAACTCATCAAAATGTACACTTAAAATGTAAGCACTGTATTATATATCAATTACAGTGGAAGAAATTTGGTTCAAAAAATAAAGATCATAAAAATAACCCCATCTCTACTAAAAAATACAAAAAACTAGCCGGGCGAGGTGGCGGGCGCCTGTAGTCCCAGCTACTTGGGAGGCTGAGGCAGGAGAATGGCATAAACCCCGGAGGCGGAGCTTGCAGTGAGCTGAGATCCGGCCACTGCACTCCAGCCTGGGTGACAGAGCGAGACTCCGTCTCAAAAAAATATATAAATAAATAAATAAATAAAGAGGGACTGGGTGCAGTGGCTCATGCCTGTAATCCCAGCACTTTGGTAGGCAGAAGTGGGTGGATCACAAGGTCAGGAGATCGAGACCATCCTGGCTAACACAGTGAGACCTTGTCTCTACTAAAAATATAAATAATTAGTCAAGCATGGTGGTTGGCACCCATAATCCCAGCTACTTGGGAAACTGAGGCAAAAGAATTGCTCGAAGCCGGGAGGTGGAGGTTGCAGTGAGCTGAGATCACACCATTGCACTCCAGCCTGGACAACAGAGCAAGATTTCGTCTCAAAAAAATAAAAATAAAATAAAATAAAGAGGGACATACATACTATTTTATAGTTTACAAAGGGGTTTGATTGTTTGCTTGATATTGATCCTTACCACCACCTTGTGAAGTAGGCATGCATACAGGCTCCTATTGTGGAAAAGTCACAAAATCATGTGTTTTGTTCCTGAGCTACAGTGTCTCACTTGGCTCTGGAATTCATCCACACACCTTGGGGGAATAAGAACCAAAAAAAAAAAAAAAAAACCCCACTCCCTATGCACACAAATTATAAAGATGCTTTGAATGGTTCATTGCCTAGATATGGAGGAGGGTTGCCTATGGTAATAACGGTTGTACTGATTATTTTTTCTACTGCACTATCAGCCAGGCATTGCACCAAGATCTACTCATGTAATTCTCAAAACAGTCCTGGGAGGTAGGCATTATAATCTCCATATACAAATGAGAACATTGGGCCTCAGCAAATTTAAGAGACTTACCAAAGTTCACACAGGTAGCAAGTGGCACAGCTGGGGATCTAGGTCTGATGGACTCGAGGTTCCAGCTCTTTCCATACCACCATATTGGCTCCATATTTCAGATAAATGGGACTATTTTTATTTGCACTGACTAAAGTTATTCCCCAGTAACTAAAGTTATTCAGGGGTGCTGGCTAAGAGTGGTCCTTTGGAGAAGATTGAGATAGAGTCAATAGAACTTCAGGTCTAGGACAATGTGGTCTGCACCCCAAAAATCACGTCGAGGCCAATGCCTCTCTTATCTGGTGGATGGACATTGAGTTCCAAAAGAAAGAGGGATGTCAGTCTGTGAAGGAACAAGGAGCCACATTTGGGCATCTGCGACAATGGGTGTGGATGGGAAGAAACGGGGGAAGCTTCAGCATGGTGTGCAGGCAGCAGTCCCCTATGTGAGATGATATTTCTGGTAGGGGATCTGGAGCCACACAGTTCTTGATGCAAAGTATTGTAGGATGCAGATTTCATGTGGGGAAATCGTTCATGAAGAACCACTTCTCATTTAAAGATGAAAAATAAAAGGGACATCAGAGCGTAATGGATTATTAGGATTGATTTGGGGTTGAGTGCCAACTCTAACATTTGGTGAAAACAGGTTTGAAGTAGAGAACGCTGACGTAAAATCCTGGCTCCGTACTTACTAGCTGTGCAATCTTGGGCAAGTTACTGCACCTCTCTAAGCTTCTCTCTTCTCAGTTGGCAGATGCAAATAATGATGCCTACTTGACAACACAGATGGAAGACCGACGTTTGCAAAGTGCCTTCCTCGGTGTCTAGTGCTAGGTTAATGTTTGACCCTCTCCTTTTGTGGGTAACCCATCAGGAACCTTAGGCTTCAACCTTGATTTGAATCCCTAAATTTTAGCTCTGCTGGCACTTACTTGTCTGAAATTGCAGCTGCCCCCAGGGAGTGGAGCCTGTTGGAAGCCAGTCCTCTTCCTGTTCCTTCCTGCTTATCCTGTCTTCCTAGGTCCTGGCATTCCAACTACTCCCAGGATTAATACTGTCTACCCCTTGCTTCTGGATCTCTGAGGTCTTCCCAGACTCTGTCACAGCTCTCCATCATCAACCTGCCCAGAGGGTCTGCCCTAACATTCCATGCACAGGTTCTGATGACAAGGGTGGAAACAAATTTCTGATCTGATAAAAACTCAGTCACAAAGGTTCCAGGCATTTCTGCTGAATCTCTGTATAACTGGGCTTAACAAAAGATAAACCTGATCATGTCATGTTCTTGATTAAAATCTGTCTCATATTTCCTCAAGATAAAGTTCAAAATCCTTAGCATGGCCTGCCATGTCCCACAGGACACAACACATGGCACTCTCTCTAACTTCCTCTCTCACTACCTGCCCCTCCACCTGCCACAACCAGCACCACAGGCATCCTCTACTTTCCAGCCAGATTGAATTACTTGCCCTTCGAAAACACGCTCCACCCTTACTTGCCCCAGGGACTTTGTACATCCTATTTCTCTTTCCTGGGATCCTTGCCTCCCATCTCCTTCAATACCCTCTTCCCGGCTCATCTCTGTCCTTTGTAAATCAGTTTAGCCATCATCCGAGAAGTTCTCTCTGACTTCCAGGACTTATTTGAGGCCCTTCTTGGGTGTAACCCTGGCTTGCTAAACTTCTGTTTTAAGACTAATCACCTTTAGTTGATTTTATTGTGTCTTTCCCATTAGACTGTAAACACTCTGAGAGTGGACCTGCATTTAGACTCCTGTACTCCAGCACTTACCAGAGTGCCCAGCACAGAAAGGGTACTCAGGGAGTGCTTACAGAACAGATACATGAAAAGAACTATAGAGCAAGTCAGGAAACACACTTGATGAATAACAACCACATACCTGTGAAGCAGGTGGTGGGCCTTGGAAAAGACAGCCCCTAGAGGAAACAAGACAAGAGTAAGAATTTCTGTAAATAAACTTTCCGTGAGATTTTCCAAAAGATCTGAGCACATGGAGCCGACTGCAATCCAAGACCACTAGACCACCCTGGAAAAGCACTGCCTTCTTCTCAGAATTGCATGGGAACCCCCGTCTGCTCACATTATGCTCTGAGGCCACACAGTCTGAAAATGGAGTGTCACATTTTTTGGTCTGAGCTGTGTGCTGGCCTGTTCCAAAGCTGAAGGGAACAGCATTCTCTAGGCACAAAGAATGCACTCAGACCCACTGACTAGGAATGTATTTTTAAACTAAAAAGTTTGGGAAGAGTTAAGCAGCCTGCAAGGTTTCAGAGATCTGTAGCAAATGGGATTCAGCACAGAGACCTCCCAGGATGAAGGATTTGTACCAGACAGGAATCAAAGTTGTCCCAGATCTGGTAAAGATTTCTGAGGGCTTATGTAATTGTCAAAGATCTATTTGCAGCGGGGCCCCAAGGTGGATGCTAAGATGCAATGTCTGTTCTCATGCAAGACCTGCAAGTGCAGGCTTCTTTGCCCCAGCTGATGGGCAAATTTTCACAAATAATAGGCTTAGTGGACAATACTACTGAATCATTGTGATACTGTTGAATAGAAAGACTTCAGACTAATGTCTGGCTGTGACATGGACATGTTATTAATGACTGTCTCCTGCCAGCTCTATTTTTTTTTTTTTTGGCTCTGAAATGTAGACCCACTGAAACTGTATTCCCAGGGGACCATACATCAGGACAATGGATCTAACAGCTGATTGATCTAGCACAGCAGTTGAGTGGGTGGTTTGGAGAGTCTGGATTCCTGGACTGAATCCTGGCTTCACTACTTGTTGTGTGACATCTTTTCTTAAACTCCAAGTCTCAGTCCCCATACCTATAAAATGGAAATAATGAGAGGACATACAAAAGTACTCAGTAAAGTGAAGATTCAACATAAAACCCTTGCAAGTTCTTGTCACACAAACAAATCAATAAATGTTAAGCATCATTAGTGAAATGGGACTATCCTTGACAGTCTAGGATACACGGTAAACTTTGTCCTTAAGGACAGAATCTTTGTTTCAGTGGTTCCCCTTACGATATTCCAAAACAACCTTGCAGCTTCAACTCGAAGACAGTCACTGATTTGGCTTTGTCCTCCATTTCAGTCAACACATATTTACTGAGATGATGTGTCCAGCCAATGCTGGGCCCTGAGGCTCTGAGGCTGCAAAGATGAAGAAGAAATAGTCCCAGCCTCTTCTGAACTCACAGATGGCTGGGAGAGTTCGATCCAAAAAGACATCATCACCGAATTAGCTCTATTTTATTATAGTGTGATAAGTCAAGTGAGAGAGGGAGACCGAGGGGACTGTGGACACACAGAGAAGAGGCTTGAGGTATGTGAAAGGCTTTCTAAAGGACAGGAGGTGCAAGGGGGTCCTCCAAATAATGGGAGGCAGAATTTGGCAGCTGGAGAAGTCAGGGTAAGCAAGTTCAACATGGGAAACAGCCAGGACAAGGGCCCAAAGATGCCATGCCATCTGGGAACAATTGGAATGACCTGGGGATGTGAGAGTAATTCACTTAAGCTAGAGGCTGGAGTGCGAAGGCAGTGATGAGTTTGGGGCTTGGTAGGTAGGGGCCTGTTAGGGAGAACCCATGAGCTGAATGCAGATTTCTCAACCTTAGCACTATTGACACTCTGGACAGGGTGATTGCTATGAGAGGCTATACTGTGCATTGTAGAATGTTTAGCCACGGCCTCTATTCACTGGATGCCGGTAGCAAGTCCCTCTAACACACCACTGTCATGACACCCCAAAATGTCTCCAGATATTACAAAATGACCAGCACAGGTAGGGGTAAATTCACACCTTCCCCTCCCTCTGTTGAGAATCATTGGACTAAACTAAGGACTTTGAGCTTTAGGCCGGTTTAGAGTCTCTTAAGGTGAAGTGACATGGTCAGATATGCAGTTAACTCAGATCATTTTGGATTAGAAACACCACACAAAGACAGCCAATCTGGTTCAGGAGCTATTGCAACAATCTAGAGAAGAAATTATAAATTACAATGGAAATATTAACCAAGGGATGTTCTCTCTCTCTCTCTCTCTGTCCATCTACGTAATATAATGCATTATTAGTATATATACAAATATGTAATAATGTATATTATATATAGTAGTATATTAATGCACACACACTAATTGGTGCTATAAAAAAGCGAAGGGTGACTCTAAGAGAAGAGAGTGATAAGTCTTTATCTCTTCTCCCAGGATAAGTAGAAATTTTTTTTGAATTGTTTATAATTCTCCTGAATAATTATAAATACCATCATTGCACTTTAATATTGCTAACAACATTTTACAAACATTAGCTCATGGAATTCTCACCACAGCCCCATAAATTAGGTTTTATAATCCCCATATTAAAACGAAGAAAGTGAGGTTTACAGAGTTAACAGTTTACAGAAACTGATGCAGCCAGTAAACTGTGGAGCGTGGACTCACTTCTTGAGTTCAAATTTCATTCTCTTTCCACTGTATCCTGAAAGATGTTTCATAAACACAAGGCTTATTGTACTCTGATTCATTGCAATCAGTTCGATCTGGGGCATGTTAAAAGAACTCCATTTAGTTTTTTCAAACAATACATTTCCAAGCAAATGATCTCATAAAAATACAAAAGGAAGAGAATCCCCAAAAGTGGAAAGTTTTATATGACTTGTATGCTTGCTTTCTTTTTTCTCTCTTTGTTTCGGTGTTAATGAAGGACATGCTCTTTCTTTCCTTACTCAGTCCAGGCTCTTGTAACTATGCTCACCAGCCCTAGCTGAAGCACAAACACCACACGCTCGGTTTGTCCCTAGAAACTCTTCAGGCTTCCGTGAACTTGACACCTGAAGTGAATGCGCAGTTTGCCACACCAGGTGGCCACTGAGGAAGTGGCAGAGAGGATCAAATCCTTTACTTAATTTGTTTGAATGTCCCTTGTCACCAACAAATCCTTCTTGTTTATGTAGAGAAGAAGAAAAATAAGTGGGTTATTAACATTTATTTGGTTTCTTTTTGAATTAATAAATAATAATTATATCTAGGTACATGTTACAATGTGATGTTTTGATATGTATTTCCCATGTGGAATGACTAAATTGGGCTAATTAAACATATCACCTCACATACTTACCATTTTTGGCAGGGGTGAAAACATTTAAAATATTTTTGTGATTTGGAAATACGCAAGGCATTATTATTAGAGTCCCATTCTGTGCAATAGACTAAAGTTTATTCCTACTGCCTAACTGAAATGTTGTACCTTTTGATCAACATCTCCCTTTCCCCACCACCCCTGTTCCTCGCCTTTGGTAACCATCATTCTACTCTCCACTTCTATGAATTCCACATTTTTAGATCCCACATATATTTGAGATCATGTGGTATTTGTCTTTCTCTGCCTGGCTTATTTCAGTTAGCATAACGCCCTCCAGCTTCATCCATGCTGTCAAAAATGATAGGATTTCTCACCATTTTAAGGCTGAGTAGTATTCCATTGTCAATATATACCCTATTTTATTTATCAATTCATCTGATGATGGACATGTGGGTTTTTCCTATAGTTTAGCTATTGTGAATTATGCTGCAATTAACATGTGAGTGCAGGTATCCCTTCAGCATACTGATTTTAATTCCTTTGGATATACAACCAGAAGTGAGATTACTGGATTGTGTGGTAATTCCACTTTTAGTCTTCTGAAGAACCTTCATACTGTTGTCTATAATGCCTGTGGGGTTTTTTTTGTTTTGTTTTGTTTTGTTTTTTTGCTGGTGCAAAGTTTACAGCTGATAAATCTGTCTAAATGTTGTTAACAAGTCAAGTGCACCTGTGGGCTAAACGTGATTCAGCCAGATTTGTGAAGAATGAGTGTGTTTTCCCTAGTTGCATCCACACATCATTTGTTACACTGTCTGAAAGGCTTGACTGGTGGCTGTACCCAGACCTGTCCCCACCCTGAGTTTTAAAGCTTGCTCCATTTACAGAGTTTTCCAGCAATTCTAGGAAAAGAATTTTCTGGAAAGAGCATCAGTATTGTTCTGCACACTGGGCAGGAAAGAAATGTTACAGAATGTATTCAAACTACATAGTTGCTCTATCTTTTTAACATAAATTTGCTTGAGAATTTGATTAAAAGTCAGAGGCTAATTTGGCTACAGGAGGTTGAAAGAAACAAATATTTATCCAGAGCTTATTAAGGGCTAGGATTTGTGTTAGACACTCTGCTGCTTATCTCTTTAATTCTAGCCACTATTCTGTGAGAAATCATCCCTTTATCCTCATTTTCTAAAAAGACACTTGGAGGCTCAGAAAGTACAAACAACTCGCCCAAGACCACTCAGCAAGTAAGGAGCAGAACTGACAATACTTACTCACTCTTTAAACCATCATTTGAGAGTCTGCCATTGCCATGCACTGTTCTGGGCACTGAAGATACACCGGCGACCAGACAAAACTCTCTGTGTACAGACAGCACCTGGATGGAGAGACAGACAATAAGCATAATAAACATGTAAAATGCATGGTATGTCAATTAAATATAAGGTAACAGGTGCTGCAGTAGTCATTGATGCTGTTTACCAAATATTTCCAGGGCTTGGGTTTCCATGTGCCTGGCTCTGGCAAATGAATGGTGAGCAGTTTCACTTCTGGGCTGGAGTGTGTAATTGCTAGTTTAAGACCCTCCGACCCACTTTCTGCCTCCTGCCATGCTGATGGGCAAGAGTCCAGGTGGTGCTCACTCCATCAGCCTGACTTACAGGTAAGCACCACAGAGTCAGCCTCTGTGGTAGGGAACCACTGGATTCGAGTGAATCTGGAAGGAAGAACAAGGCTATATGAAAGAAAAAGAGAGAGGTCCACTGGGGTAAGTAATGAACACTGAATTCTGAGCATTGCAATAAGGGTTACTGTGAGGTCCTGCCCTGGGGTTCAAGATCAGCTGAGCAAATAGCCCAGAGCCAGCAGCCAGGGGAATAGGGTTCAATGGGCTACCTTCCATTATAGGAGGGAGCATGGTACAGTGAAGGAGACGGAGAAAATGTCATGTGGACATGGGATCAAATCTTCATTGTCCCATTAACCAGCTGAGGAAAAATCTTAACCTCGAAATAGTTCAATTCTGAACTTCATTTTATTTGCAAAATGTAAGTCACAAACTTTTGCTTTATGGAATTACTATATTAAGACTGAAATCAGGTGGAGTCTGTGAAATGAAAGTGTGCCAGCTGTTCCTCTGTTGCCCCCACCCCAGTGCTCTTCCTTAGACACCTGGTCCTTGGAATTATGAATTCTGTGTCGTCTGCATCTGGCTTCAAGCATGACTTTTCCCAGCTAAATTAGATCGCCTTTTCTTTTAAAAGGTAGGTTCTTTTTTTTTTTTTTTTCCCCCAATTTGATTTCTTTGTTTTGTTTTGTTTGGGTGTTTTCTGCTTTTCGTTTGTCTTCAAAGAATGGTTTCTGCACCCACTGTTTAACATTCCGAAGACAGGACACTCTTCTCAAGATAGTTTTGTGTTGTGTAACAAATGCATTGCTTCTCACTTCCCATGAGAGCTGCTCTATCTTATTCTCCTCTCCTTTGCTCTCTTTCTTTCCAACAAAGAGTGAAGAAGAAGGTTTCCTAATGGCCCCTGTCTCCTGAATCACCCTCCCTTCTCTTGCAACCCCGCCTGTTGATGGAAATATATAATTGGGTTAAGCAGGTTTATGTCTTCTCATCCTGTTTGCTGTGTAATTTACATCCTTCATCACACATCTGTTAAAAAAAAAAAAAAAAAGGAGAAGAAGGAAGTGTCCTCCTTGTTCACAGAGAAAAATCAATTATCCTCCCCTCTAAAATGAATTCATATGTATTTATTTGGTGGGAAATCTTCAAAGAAACTAACAGGATCTCTCTAAAATATTCAGGCCATCCTTACAACTCACCCCCAACTCCTGTGTCTGCTTTGATGTTTGATTAATCAAAAGTATGTTAGTTACACACTGGGCACTATATCAAATATGAGCAAGACATGATCTGATCCTTTCCCTCAAGGAGCACTGAGTCTAGAAGAGGAACTAGACATGGCACATTGCAGTACAGTGTGACTCTCAGTGCTGAGAGCAATGGTCAGAGGTGGCCCAGGGAACGCAATTGATTTGAGGCTCTGGTATAGCTAGTGCCGAAGGGCAGGGGCAGGAGGGGGTCCTGTGAAGACAGAGAGGTGGGATATAAGGTTTGAGTGGCTAGCCAACCATTTCATACAGAGCTCCAGTTCTATGGGGGGAAAAAAGTGTAGAGTTTATTTGTTTTCTCCAGGAGAGAAGAGGATTAGAGCAGGGATCTCCAACCCCTGGGCCAGGAATTGGTACTGGTCTGTGGCCTGTTAGGAACCAGGCCACACAGCAGGAGATGAGTAGTGGGTGAGCTTTACTTTTCATCTGTACTTTACAGCCACTCCCCATCACTCACATTACGACCTGAGCTCTGTCTACTGTCAGATCAGCAAGGGCATTAGATTCTCATAGGAGTGCAAACCCTACTGTGAACTGTGCATGCAAGGGATCCAGATTGCACACTCCTTATGATAATCTAATGCCTGATGATCTGTCACTGTCTTCCATCACTCCCAGATGGGACCGTCTAGTTGCAGGAAAACAAGCTCAGGGCGCCCACTGATTCTACATTATAGTGAATTGTATAATTATTTCATTATATATTACAATGTCATAATAATAGAAATAAAGTGCACAATAAATGTAATGGGCTTGAATCATCCCGAAACCATCCTCCCACCCCACCACCTCATCCGTGGAAAATTTGTTTTCCACGAAACCAGTTCTTAGTGCCAAGATAGTTGGGGACCACTGGATTAGAGGATTTTGGCTTTGGAGATTGACTCCAGAGTGAATCTGGATTAGTTCTAATTCAGAAATGGAAAATAGAAGCAGAAAAAGAATGGAATTAGACACTGTGCTGGGAAATGAAACCAGTTATCTCATTTGATTCTCACAATACCCCAGCAAGGACCTGCTTCACCAGAAGCTATTATTCCACTCAGTTTATACTTGAGAGGACTATGGTTCAGAAAGGCTAAATGGGAAAAGGGGTATCACTGCCCTACTTCCCACCAGGGTTGACCACTGGGGATCAGCAGTGTGCGTGGGGTCAGAGCATCCCTGCATGCATCACTCTAGGCTGAGAAGGGCTTATGTGCAGTGGCCCAGGGCCAGGTGCCCTGTATCTGTCTGATGGACTGAGAGCCATGGCAAAGCTCTTCCCAGTGATGGTTGGAAAACCAAAATGATATGTCCTTACTATGTGGGTTTTTTTCCCCACACATTTGTCCACTCCATGGGCTTTTATAATTATGGTGCCCTGAACCTGACAAAAGCTAGATGTTATGATAGATAAGCCAATGGTAGCTGGAGGAAAGATGCACTCCCAGTAAAATGTACAATTACCAGGGATGGCACAACCCCAACCAAGGGTCCTAAAGCTCCTGAAACACTTTTGCTCTCTCCCATTTTTGGGGATTTCATTGATATACAAGTGGAGTTTAGACCCTAGAACATCACAATTGGATGAACAGGGCTTGCATAAAAGACACGTGGTCTTCATGAATCTTTGCCTTGAAATCTAGAGAAGCACATCATAGGGGGACCAGGGCCATCTTCACCAACTACTCAAATGGTGTTTCCCATATTACTATCTGAGTAAGAAGACAGATGCTGGTATTGGGGCTCCAAACAACTCCCACTGGCAAGCCATTTCTCCAACAGCCTTCCTCCCTGGGGTGGACTATGTTGAGTGCATGGATAAGGACATAAAGCCTACTAATGACCTGAGAAAGGAGACTCCCTCACCCTCGCTTCTATAGAGTCCATCAGAAGGAGTTTGCCAAAGACCTTGGTCTTTGTCTCAAGCCCACATTCTCAAAACGGAATGTGATTTTATTTTTTGGTCACTTGCAGACTCACCAAGGCCTGTCACCAGGTAAGAATGGTTGAGAAAAATAAATAACAATGTGGATGTTGGGCAAAATCAAAGCCACTTGAACAAGAACCTGGTTCTCCAGAAACCAGCTGATACGATTTGGCTGTGTCCCCACCCAAATCTCACCTTGAATTGTAGTTCCCATAATCCCCATGTGTGTGCGAGGGACTGGTGGGAGGTAATTGAATCATAGGGGCAGTTACCTCCATCCTATTCTCATTATAGTGAGTGACTTCTCACAAGATCTGACAGTTTTATAAGGGGCTTTCCCCCTCTTTGCTCTGCACTTCTCCTTGCTGCCACCATGTGAGGAAGGATATGTTTGCTTCTCCTTCCACCACGATTGTTAAGTTTCCTGAGGCCTTCCCAGCCCTGTGGAATTGTGAGTCAATTAAACCTCCTTCCTTTATAAATTACCCAGTCTCAGCTATGTCCTTATTAGCAGCGTGGGAACGGACTAATACACCAGTCAAAGCCATTTTCCTGGATTGTATGTGGGATAAAGAGCTGCCAGGCTGACCTGAAGAAGCTCAGAGATGTAGCCAAAGAATCACTATTTAATATGTTTAAAGGGCTAGGCTTCCAAGAAGGACTGAAGTAGTGCAGGGAAAGGTGTGAGGGACCTTAGTAGGAGGGCTATCCATCCTCCTTACAGGTCAGCCTCATTGGGTCCAGTTTTCTTAGATTAAATGTAACTCCTCTTCTTTTTTCTGTTTCCTTGAAAACTGTTGCACAAATATAGCAATTCTCAGCCCCTACCATGCTTGGACAAAACTGATTATTTGGCTCAAGCATTGAAAGTGGAAATTCCTAGGGTTGCCTGGCACCATTCGTCTCCCCTTATCACCCTAGCAACCCTTGAAGATGGATGGACTAGATAATACCAACGACCTCTCATCTGACAAATGAGTGTTCTGACAGAGGGTGGCTTTTCCAGAACTAGAAGGGAGACTGCCTGACACATCCAGGCAACTTTCTCTGTCAGTGTGCTGTGGGGTTGGACAGAGTGGCCCTCGTTCTCACTGCTGCACATTCATATGTTGTCATTTTAAGCCCTATTGCCCTCTCCTTTCAAAGTGCCATAGGGCAGTTGTTTCATAACACTGAGGAACTCTGTAGAATTTGGATTTTACTGATAAGATGGAAGGTCTTCTTTGTATGCATGCACAATGGGAAGATTCAAATCAAGACCACCTTCCTGACTGTTTTTTTGTCTGTGTCAAGGAAATGTTGGGTTCCTAAAAAGAGCAAAGCAGTTGTTCAAACTCCTTTGAAGGAAATTGTTGTTTTCGTTGTTATGCTCCTTCTTATTGATTGGCTCTCTGGTGGTAGTGATCTCTGGCTCCCTCTTGATCTCTCAGTTCCTGATGGAAGCTTTGCTCTCAGTTCCTAATGGAAACTTGAGTTTTTCTTTTTCTTCTCCAAGAACTTATAGTGACATGAAATGCATCATCTTTTTGCCCCTGCTTCGACCCACCAGCCATCCTGTCCCTGATTTT